TAAGTCTAGCTTTGCATTTTCTCTTGGTTCCTGTGTGATTTCAAGTATATTTTTTTCCCCAAAAGACAAAATTTATTGTGAATTTAGAGTTAAATGTGAAAGTTGTTAATATATGAGAAAATTTCAGTTTCACGTTTTAAAAAACTAATCCATGAAAATAAAGTCAAATGTTTATCTGAGTAAGTGATAAGACAGCAATACAAAAGACTTGGAGTTAACAACTTATTTGTTCACTAGGAATGACCATGATAACAGACTTGGAGCTTCACTTTACATGACCACTTGTTAGATAATGCAATCATCCTTAACGAGAGAAAAAAAATACTTTTTACACACATGTTGTGTAAGTCTTGTGTGCCCTTTCTTCATTACAGGTCTTGCTGTGGAAGCCAGGATGGTTCAGGGGATTGATTGGTGGTGGAAATATGAAGTCTTTCATTGCCATCTTATCTGTTTGAATCCTGTCCTTGTTGGTAGTGACTGGGAGTTGCTACCATTCGCCAGCTGTTCAGTGACTTATGTGAAATGAGATGGTGGTCTCAGTCCAGTTCTTAGAGGACAGATGGCAATAATTGGCTGTTTCAGCAGAGAGGCCAAGGATCAAATGGACACAAAGACTAGATCCTTTCCCCTAATCCTTATAAATGATCTCAAAATTGCAGACTTTTTAGAGCTTGAAGGGACCTCAGCAGCCATCTAAGCCAAAGCAAACTCTTAAGGAATATCTACTCTCATACACCTGACAAGTGTGTGGAGACTTTCAAGGAAGTGGAAACTACCACTTTTATGGCAGGTTATCCTATTCTTAGATAGTTAAAATTGCTCACAAGTTTTTCTTGACATAATCTGCCTCTTTGTAGCTTCTATCCACTGCTCCTGGTTTCAACTTCTGAAACAAAACAAATCTAATCCCTCTTCCACAAGACAACCCTTCTAATATCTGAAGACAGTTATTATGTCTCTCTTGATCTTTTATTCTATTGTTTAGCACCCTAAGAAGCACTGGATCTTTTCATCCGTTTTGTGTCCACTATATATCTTCCCCAAATAGAAAGTGAGTTCCTTGAGAGCAAAGCTTATTTTGATTTTCTATTTTTCCCAAGCATGGAACAAATGTTTTTTCATTCATTCATTCATTCAACCATGCATTCATGCACTCATTTATGGACTCAAAATGGACATTGTCCAGATTATCAGAGCCCTTAAATGATGCCACACAGAATGGAATATAATATTCCACATATGTTCTGATTTTTAGTGCATAGTGCAGAGGGATTGTCAATTCCTTGAGCTAATCTCGTCTTTTTGAAGGCCAAGATACCACATTAGCTTTTTAAAAAGATTCCCATTTCACACTATTGATTAATACTGAGCTTGCAAAATGCTAAAGCTGTCAGAACTCCTTCAGCAAAGGGCTGTCTAACCATGCCCCTACAATCTTTTTTTTTAAATCTATCTATTTTTTTCCCTTTCATTTCAGAACTACTTTCACATATGCTATCTCTTGATTGATTGGTTATTCTCACAACATCCCTATGAGGTAGACTGGGGACAGCCATATTATCCCCATTATGCAGATGAGAAGACTGTAGCACAGTGATCTTAGCACTAGAAGTAATGTAGTTACGATAAAATTGGTTATATAACTCAAGTGACCTAACTGGTCTAATGCTCTTTCCACCAGACTGTGTAATATCACTATTGAATAATACCTAAATACAGAGATATACATAAAATCAGGAAAGTATCTAATGTAATAACTTATTTATACATAACAGGTGCCTAAGTATTCAATTGATTTTGAACCTAAATGTAAGACTTTACTTTATTCCTACCGAAGTCCATCACGTTAGATTTAATCCAGTGTTCTAGCCTGCCATCCCTTTTTTGGTTTTGGATTCTGTCATCCAGTGTCCTAACTATTCTAGCATCATATCAACTTCAAATTCTTTGAGGTTATGGTTGGAAAAAAATATTGGTTGTAGTATAGGGGAAGTGGGCCTCGTAATTGCTTTATTCATTTTTCTGTATCTGAAAACCACAAGTCTCCCTTCCCATATTACCCATATAGTATATTTCAAGAATATAACCTATGGCCTAAACTCATTTGCTCCCTGATGCTTTATTGGGGTGTCGGGGTAATCTTGGATTCTCTAAGACTATGCTGCCAGAGTACAAGCCTGGGCAGATCCTGCCTGGCGGGAAAGGCTTTTGGAACAGGCCAAGTGACAGATGGAGCAAATACTCTTATCGATAAAATGACAGTTCCTGTTAAGTAATGAACCATTTTTGTAGGGGGAGGGGGAGGCAGAATCAAACCTGTGATTTCATCCATGTGGAGAATGCCTGATGTGAAAACTCATTCCACCAGTGCAGATTGGCAACTCATTTTTACTTTAGGAAGGTAGATCTTCCTGGTTCTCAGGCTGGCCTTTTTATCTACTATACAGGGCTACCTCTCAATGAAATCATGATATAGCAGAAAGAGCACTGAACTTGGAATCATATGATTTGAGTTTTATTCAGAGTTCTGCAACCTACTAGTTGGGGATCCTTGAGTAAGCCATTTCCTCTTTACAGGCCTTAGTTCACTCTTATGTAAAATGAGGGCGTTGGATTGGATGATTTCAAAATCTTGGAAATCTCTTCCAGCTCTAGATCCATGATCCATGACACACATATATATACATACATACATATATGTATGAACTATTGAATACATCATATAATATATTCAATATATTATATATATTACATTTATATATCAGTGACTGAGTGATACTGTTATTGCTCTGAACATGCTTATATGTATGACTTTCGTCCAAGTGCAATGAGTAGATATTGTGTTTACCCTCAGCTCTGGCTATGCCTATATGAGAGGCAGTGACATTCACAAAACTGGGCCAAACTAATATTCAGTTGACCTGATCTCTCTATACATGGTGCAGTTGAAAGCAATCCCAAAGAATCGTTAGATATGACCATGGCCTTCTGTATACATAACTAGCTAGCATGACCAAAAATATGCATAATATTTGGTAACAAATCTGTTGCCATCCAGAAAATTCTTGTAGGCCACAAGCCCCTAATAAAAGCGTTGCAAATAAAGAGATGATGGTTCATTAATGTGTGTCATAAGACCTTCCTAGACTTCCTACTAGGGTATGGATCGTCACCATTGCCATGGCACTATTGGAACATAACAGTATTTTAGAGCAAAGACCATTTGCTTGTTCTTATTGCCTTTGATCCCCAGTGCCACATGTTATGTCTTGCACATAGTAGGCAATTTATAAATGCCCTTTGGATTGGTCCCAGTCTAAAGACAGTTGAAAACTCATTACTCAAGTATTTATAAAGGATTCCTGGAAGATTCTTTTGCCCAAATGCATCACTTAGGTGTCAATAATAACCTCAACACAGTCCATTGGAGAGCCAGTGTAGCCTTCTTGAGCATTAGCCTGTTTTAGAAAGAGGACAATGTCTGTACATGAATGGTAAAGCTACTTCTCTGGAGATGCATCACTATCCATACAGATTCTGCAGGGAGATTTTTTTTTTCCTGCTGAGGAGTGCATGCTGCCTTCAATGACACTGAAGCCTCATTAAAGGAGTCTTGCTTCCTTCCTTCCTTCCCAGGGAATTTTCATTAACTGTGTTAAGTTGGCTTCCCAAATGTTAAGTTCTTAACCAACAAATGGTGGCTATCTGGTAGGGGCATATTCCACCAAATGTCCTTGAAATGGCAAAACAGGGCTGGAAAATAGAAATGAAGATGCTGAGCTGAGTGTAGGATCACCATCATACTTATGAGTGAATCTTTTTTTCATGGTTCTCTCCCTTTAGATTTGATCACTTTTAGGCTTTAGTGGAACTGAAAAGTTCAATTATATGTAAAGTGACTGTTAAATCAGCAGGACCCTTGTAGGGGTCTGAGCCTACCCTCCCTTCTTCAATTGCAAGTGTGCTAAATCCATTAATGTTACAAAGGAATGTACATCCATCAGGTATAGTGGTGGAGGCCAGGGTGCATATTATAGCTTTTACTGCATATGAGACATTGCAGTCCTGTTCTTAGGAACTGCCAGGCAGATTGGGAATCACAGTCACGGTTAATAGCAGCGAATTGCCAGCTCTTGATGGGTGGGTAGTCACTCCTTTCAGTGGTTGCCCCCTGGGGGAGAAGGTAGAAAAACAGAGGGAGGGAATTAGAGTGACTTTGCACAGCTGAGCAGGTTCATGCCGCCGGATCCGTGGCAAGCATTGGCAGGGCTCCACTCTGGGGAGGCTCACAACAACATCACAGTCTCATTTTTACCAATTGGTGTTGCTATATAGCCAGTGGTGCACAGGGGGAGAGCAAGAAGAGAAGGGGGGTGGTGTGGGCTGGGGAACAGGATGGAAAGTGGGGAGAGAGGAAGGAAGGCGGGATTCTGGGCTAAATTAAACAAACAAACCAACTACATGTTAAAAGTGTTTAACCCAGAACCATTAGCCTGGTGCTACTAATTGTTCTCAACTAGTATTTTAAGTTCAATGTGTGATTAAAGAGTTGGCTCACAAACTCTCTGCATAACCTTAATTTTTTCAAGGTTCTTTGAGTGTAGAATGGCTTATAATAATGATTTTGACTAATACGATTTTTGACATGCAACTTTAATGCTTAACCTTAGTACAACTCCAGAGCATTTCATGTGTATTCAGCTGTAAAGAGTGATGATTTAAAGGGATAATATAAGAAAAAGGTCGTTCTAGAATGAACCTCTAACAAATTGCATAAGGGAAGCTTATTATTCCATGAGTAGAGGGATATGCAGCTTTTCTGATCATTTTTCTGCTTGGTTCAAAAAATTGTTGAGACATGATTGGGGAAAGAAATAGGAAAAAATGAATAGAATTCTGCAAGCAAGGAACATTCTTTTGATGGTTATGATTTTGTTGCCACTAAAAATATTCTACGATAATGTGGTTATTCATCTCCTCTCTTGTTTTGGGTGAAGAATTCGCTCCAACAAGAAAATGCTGTTATTGGTTGGAGGATTGCCTCCTGGACCGGACCGGCTTCCCAGTAACTTGGTTCAGTACTATGACGATGAAAAGAAGACGTGGAAAATACTGACAAGTGAGTGGTTTTGTTGATTCATTTATTTATCCATTTATTTATCTTGGGTTAGCTTTGTCTTGATGAATTGGAAAACACGGTTAATCAAATTAGACGTTTTATTGATTAGTTATCCTTAAGAGATGTGTTTATGTATCACAGGGGACTTCTCAGTAAGAGAATAAATTAAGATTCTTGAGGTTGCCAATTTGATCATAGAATGGGCCTAAATTAAATCTGGCCAAAAATCACTGCTTGAGTTTTTGTTCAAAGCAAACTTTTAAGGCATTTTGCAATCCCCAAAGAATAAAATCACTTAATTATTTTAAGAAAGTCTTTCTCTGTGAAATTTCCTAAATCAAAACAGCCCATCTAACCTGTGGTCTCCAAGCTTCAGTTAGTTTGTGTTTAACTTTGTTTTTTCTCTTTTAGTCACAATCTGTAGATTCTGTTCATCAGTGGTATTAGCCTACAGCTTAGGTGGACAAATGTATTCCAGGCACCTCCCAACTACAATAAATTGTGCTTGCAAACTTTACCTAAGATTTCCCCTGCCCTTTCCTTAAATGGTGATTGTGTTTTGCAGCAAGCCTTTTGCCTTGGGCATTGAGATTTGAAACTTATCGTTATATTGGTTACAGTTCCCAGTCTGATTCAGTCATGGAATCAAAATTATCGTTTCTTGAGTGCAGCAGGCTGTGTGCACTAGTCCCATTGAGGGTAAAGTGGCAGCATTGGTCAATAAAACTAAATTTTAACTGTCAAAATTGCCCAGAGCTGCATAGATAAAATAATAAATGAGCAATTTTGATCCATAAATCAAAGCCATGCTTTTAGAACTGGTCAACTGGTGGAAGTTAGATTTTCTTATAACATGCATTTTTAATGAGTGAGATGACTTGTAAATATATATGTATATATATATACATATATATGTGTATATGTACATACATACATATGTGTGTGTGTGTGTGTGTATGTGTGTGTAGAGAGAGAGAGAGGAGTTTCTTGTCCAGTTTCCAAAAATGTTTTAAGGAAATAGAAATGTGAAAGGAATTTGTCCTAAGAATAGGAGTGGAGCAAAGACTACTGTTGTGTGGTGCTTGAAATAATACATTTCTGAGCTGGTTTACTACCCCAGTGAAGCTGATAGTAGCATCGGCCAAGAGCTGCAGTGAGAAGACTCCCTGGGTACCCATATGCTATGGAAGGAGTAGATGATGTGGTGTAACAGCAGCAAGATTAAGGACAAGGAACAAAGAACGACAATTTAGAGAAATCTTAGCATTGTCTTTATTCTAGTTATAATATGGTTAATCACAGCTTGAACAAGTAAATTCATGGCGAATCCATACTTTTAATGAATTTTCAGGAATATAAAGAAAATGAGTCTTTTTTTCCTGATTCTTGATCAAGAGAGAGAAGTAAGCAGACCTGGAGATAGCAAGCAAGAGAGACAAAGAAAGAAACAAGGAAAAATAGAAATGGTGGATAAAGGACCAAGAGACAGGGATTCAATTCAACCCATTTCCCAGGTCTTCCTGGCTTAAGTCCAACTGTATGCCCATCCGCAGTAGGTGAGGTCCTCTCTGCTCTTTTTTAAAGCCTGCTGTTTTAATTGTTCCCAGATTTAATAAGGATATGTTTACTTTGACTCCACTAAAACCCTCCTCCAGTGCCTCATTGTGATTTAGATGTGTTTCCTGGCTTCTTGAAGATACACTAGCAGAGCTCAACCTTGGGCAGGCTCTACAAAGTTGAAAAGGCTTCAAGTATAAACCTGGTGATGGGATTTATGCCTATCATCCAAAGACCAGACTAGCTCAGTTCAGAGGCTAATATTACACCAGGTTCATCCCATGACTTCTGGTGGCAATAGTCTTCAAAAACTGTCTGTGATGTCACTGAGGGGTAATCCATATTGTCACAACCATGGCTCCTGGAAGCTTTCGCATATAAGAAGTCATCCCTGTTCCCTTCTTGTGTCCCTGTCTAGGGTATATTCCACGTGTGTTGGAGAATCAAACACTTTAGGCAGCAAATACAATTTTATTCTTTATAGTTCTGTAAACAAAAGGTCCTTTTCTTAGGGTTGAGCATATTTCTGCTGGTATTAGCCAAGAATCAAGAAGTTTTTAAAAAAAAAAAAAGGACAAGATTTTTTTGAATGAATTTGCTAAAGCTGAAATGTGAGGGAAATAAACATGTTAATGAATAAAATATGAAAAAGGACTTATAATAGTAAGCTATTCAGAGATCTTTTTTACACTGTAAGAATTGCTTATCCAAAGCAGTGCTATAGTTTTGGAAAAAATGAATACTCTGCCTACACTGTTGAATTCTAGCCCTCCAGTTGTATTTACATAGTCCAAAGTGAACAGGAGATTTCATAGTCATTTGTTTTCTCCTTCAACAAACACTTACTAAACGTCTCCTATACGAAGAACATTCTCCCAGGTGCTAGGGAAAATAAAGTTTAGATATGACAATGTCTCTGCCTTTATAGAGTTTCCAGTCAAGGGGAAGGGTAAGAAAAGCATATGATCTAGTCAAGATGAGACAAGCACCATAATCCACAATAATACATTATAAGTGCATCAGACAGTTATAGACATAGTGGTATTTAAAGTCCAAAGGGGAAGGTCATTAGGGACCTTATTATATTTGCTTGATTAGAAAGCCAATCTGGCTAGTTCATACTGCAAATTGGAAGGAGTGTCACTTGGGGGGAAGGGAGTGTTGTGGAAATCAGTTTATTTGATCCGACTATCTTTGCTAATTAAATTAACTAGGTAACTGCCAAATCTGTTTCACTTTGGACCATACAGAACTGACTGAAGAATGTGTGGCTCAAAGGACTGAAGAATGAACTAAAGCATTCTTTAAGTTGCATCTTGGATTCAGAAGGAGTATTAGTGATTGAAGAACTTGTACTCACTGTAACTGTACTAGAATGCCAAAGCCATGCTGAGATTTACCCAAGTCTGAGAGTAGTCAGGGAGTTCTTTGAAAGGGCATTGGGGGTAGTAGTGAGTACAGGGAGACAGACCTGCACTTGGCTCTGCTCAGGCATGTACTAGCTGATGAATCAAACTGGGCCGCAGGCCAACTGTGACCTTGGAGGTTGAGTGAGAAAGTAACCTATTGGGTATGAAGTAACCCTTAGTCCCTGCCACAGCGTCTGGTCATATTCCCTTTGAAAGCTTTGCAAAACTTGCAGACCCATGTGAATACTGTGTATATATGGTATTTGATTCATCAGAGAAATGACACAGGCCACTTTGAGTAGTCATGCACATCCATACATGCACACACATCAAATAAGTGCTTTGAAAACATTAAAGTATAATGTCAGCTATTATTATCATTATGATGATTATACTGAAGTAGGGGAGATGCTCCTAATGATCTGATTGGAAGAATATTGGATGATTTTTTTTTTGAGCATAAGGGTGACAAAGACTGCATACTTTTTATGTTTTAGAAGCATCATTAAACCCAGGGAAGCATGGTATGATGGTAAGAATGTTGGGCTTGGGATCAAGAGAGACTTGGATGTGAATCTTGCCTTGGATATTACTAGTTTTGAGATCGTAGACAAATAAATCCCTTAGCCCTCTTCATTTACTCTTCTGTAAAAGGATAATAATATGGACAGTAAGTATTTCACAGGGCTATAATGAAGATTGAATGCACTTGTGAGAATTTTGAGATCCTCAATGTATTGTATACATGTTAGCTATTGTCATTATGTCAAAATTAATTAAATGGAGCCTTACTGAGGATGGACTTTTGGAATACAAGTAAAACTTTAGTTAGTCATCTAGTTCTTTGGTCTCTACAAAATAACCAGCTAAGGTATTCCACCCTCCCATCCCCCTGCCCCCCTAATTGCCTGGTATACTTAGCAACGTAATCAGAGTCCAAGTTTTCTTTCTGGCCCTACTACAACTTCACCACATGTCCTTGGACGAAATCATTAAACTTTGCAGTATGGAATAGAGGTCCACAGCGCTAGTTTCTCTTGCCAAACACTATCAGAATGACATTGAGGAATAATGAGTAAAAATTACTATAAAATCCCATTTGCAACTACAGAGTACTCAATATTAATAATAAATGAGGCATTGTGGTCTCTTTGCCTGCTAATACCTGTAAGAGAGAATTTGCAATGTTCTTTCATTCTTTTCAGTTAAACTTTTTGTTTTGTTTTTGCATTTCAGTTTCCCATGTCACCCCCAAATTATTATAAAGCAGAACAGGAGATATGAGTACTAATATGACTAGGGTACAATATGCTTTCTACTCATTCCAATAAAATAGGCCATGGTGCAGTTGTATTCAACCTTACAGGGACAGTCAGAGATCAGCACCATGATTTCAAAGCTCAAAATTATTGGGGCTACCCAGTAATTTAGAAATGAATCCTTGCATGCTGCCCACATGGGACACAGACAAACTGTACCCTGGCATGGCCAATAGTAAGAGATCATAGACTATGCTAAGGATTGGATTCTTCTTTCTACTCCATTCTTATTCTCTTGCCCTCCATGTCCTTTACAAGAGTGAGGAAAATATGCTCTTTCTAGAGGGAAGGGGAAATATTTCTCAAGTGTTAGTTTTCCTACTTCTGTGACAGAATAGGAAATAAGAATATAAGATGTTTATTTTTATAATATACACATTTTTTCAAAATGTTGAATGTGTATTTTTGTCCCCTCATGCTAATTTGTCAAGTTTACCTTTCACATCATTAAGAATTCCAGTGGTGCTATTAATTCAATTTTATTCAGTAAATATTTATTAGGCATCTACTATATGCAAGGCATCATGCTAGGCACTGAGGATGCAAAGACAAAAAAAACCCTAAAAAACAATTCCTGCCCTCAATAGGGCAATTCCTGCCCTATACTCTAAGCAAAGCCTCATATTCCAAATATGTTTTCCTTCTTGGCCTTAGTTTCCTTTTTTAGCAGCAAAAGGAAATGATTGCCCTAAAAGATAGGCAACATGGTATTATG